GCATGAGTCCCCTTTGTTTTAAAATACCGAGACTTTCACAAGTTATGTATCGAGAACATGGATTTGGATTATGCACTGTCTTTTGCTAGAGTCTAACATCATCAAGTTCAGATGGCGGTGGTGGCTAAGTGGTTAGGTCACCCAGTTACAACTCGGAAGTTCCGGGTTCGAACCGTTCCACCACCTCCCGTCTTCCCTATTTCTGTACTTCCCCGGGCAGCCTTTGTATGACCGCAGCTCCCTTCCTGAAAGTTGACTGCACGTTTGTATATTCTATACATTGGAAAGGAAGTAAGACGACATTTATTTTTTTTTATATCCTTGACAGGAACCACGTCGTGAGCAGTTCAGTGATGCCCAGTCAGCCTCAGACGCGCACAATTCATCCGTTTCAGCTACTAAAACAGTCGGTATGTCCGATAAGAGCACATCTGGTGATCTTTCATATCGTTCCATATCGTCTCAGTCCTTTGGTATTTGAGCGCCGTGTTTCTGTGCTTGATGCTGCTTCTATGGATTCAATCTACTAAACAGGTGTTCTGTTGGGTGTAAAGTAGCTGGTTATTGTCTTTAGTTGACACCGATATGATCCCCTGATCCTCTTAGTCCATCAGTCATAACAACTGACCTTTTCTGTCCAATGTAGTAGGTGCGAGGTTGACCGGGTACGGATCGTCTTGCTGGCCGTTATTCAGACGAAGCACATTACCATCGTTTGATTGCGGATGGATTACTCTCCAGAATAACCTTAGCATCACCAGTACTATTAGTGTTGTATCTCTCTCTCTCTCTATCACACGCCTCATCTGATAAATCAGTTATCTTTGCTGTGCCCATTTGAACGATCCGCTGATTGACTGTGATCGGGTGCGGTCAGGTCGATCGCGGGCATGTGCACATGCACGTGAACGCGTACGATAAGCCGGGCCTGACTCATGATATGAATCCCAGCAAAACTTTGACACGTGACTGCTGCCATACCCGGAGCCGGCAATCGACCCGTGATCTATGCAACTCGGCTAGAAGAAAGTTCATAGGGTGTTGTGGTTTGTATCACGACTGTTATCCAGTACGGTGCTAATTATTTTGTGATATCTGACCAGCCTACGTATGGTTCTACATGAATATGAGTTATTGTGAATTTCAACACGTTCACGTGAATGATCGGTCGTGTGTTCCCGGTTTATCAGTTTTAATTAGTCTGTTCTGTAAAGCATTTTGCCGACTTTCTGACTGTGCATACCACCAAGAGGTAGGGTGTATACAGAAGTTCATTCTACTCAATTCAAGCGTCCGTGGACAAAGTGGTGGACAAAGTCGATTAAGCACGACCTTCCATCTGGGACAGGTTTCGCTCAGGAAAGAATCATCCTCGAAGGCTCTGCAGATTCTAGAATCGGTGCCCAAACGCGTCAATCCACTGTATTTGTTTCGGGTAGAATGCAGATGCTATCATATTCGAGAGAGATAAGTCGTTGATGGATGTTAGTTTTGGTTTCAGTTTGTGAAACTACTAACTCCAAAATTCTGTGCTCCATTTTCGAGTACTGTTTTCCCAATACCCATTTGGTTGATCATGGAAGAAGAGAGGGAGATCGAACGAGGGAACGTGAGCTGTACGAAGATGCAAATATAGAAGGTAAGCCAAATTTGTGTAGAAAGTGGATAGATTATATTACGGTCTGGCGTCTGTTTCAAACCCAAGAACTTACACTACCCATTTACGCCATCCGACTTTGGTAGGTAGCCTCACTGTCGTTCTGCTCAGTACTTCTTGTAATAATTATATTTGGATTCCCAGTAGAGCACTAATTTAACATAGAAGGCAAGAGTATGAAATACTAAATACGATATGATCACTGCAAGACGTCTATCCTAATTGGGCTTTACATGGTTCGTCACGTTAATGTCCAAGGTTTAGGTCACTTGTGACCTTGAGTAAACAGTAAGTTCTCGTTCGCGACTCAATGTATGCATTAGAAAATGTTTGTCTCTGCTGTGCACTATGCCATCCTGAATTTAAATGTTATTGACATCACCGTTTAGGCATTATGACACAAAGGATAAATCCTGATAATTTCCCCTGCTATCATGTTTTATGCTCATATTGTCGTTCTCGTATTTCCCTCTTAGATATTCTGCTAGCCCAATTGATGGGCGTGCAGAGTTTAGCCGATGCGGGCTTGACCAGACAACAGTGTTTGGCTCAATTGCGTGGCGGTTTGGAAGGTGAAGATTCCGAGAAGTGAGTTCCTTTCATACTGTACTTTTGTTGTACGTGTTTTTTTGTTTCAAACATCACAGTCCATTCTCCGGCCTCGCAAGGATGTGGTTCCTCAAGACCGTTTTAATTTGCGCGATGTGTAATTCAAATATTGGGAAACGACAATGATATTTGTTCGTAGTGCTCATAACATGGACCCAGCCAGCTGTTTTTTCAAAACACCCACCTTGTAACTCCCATGTCTGTTCTAAGTTAGTTTATGACTCTTCTTGTTCTCCTGGATAAGCACCGCACCCAGACTATCCGTAGGTAAAATGACTCATGCGCATCATGCTCGCACCTTCGATCAACCATTGGGCCGAAGTCATCCGCTCAATCCATATGGTGGCCGTTGCCATAAAAAGCTGCGATTCAGTTTCACTCGAATTATGGTCGTCGGCAATGGAATTAGAATAGGGTTGTTTATTTCAGTTTGTTTTGTAGCCCCGTAAATGCGAGCAATTTGTGGCAACAATTTAAATTCCACAGTCATGTGAGTTGCTCTCCGTATTTGTTGCCTAGGTGGCGAGAATGAATAGTTTTAAGGGTT